AACTCTACGTTCAAGGAAAGCCGAAATAGACGCTGAACGTTTGAGAACCTCCTCTTCGATTTCTTTATGAAAAAAAATTCTTATTCTTTTTCGTATCACACCTGGCTCTGTACATAGAATTGTATTATTTGTTTAGTAAGTGAATTGTACATTTTCATTCATGTTATCTATATGAATTCCATTGCTAGAATATGGTATCTTCGTTGCCATATCCATGTAAGTACACTTTTGGCAATTCCTGGAAGAGTTTCACTCAGAAACAATAGAGCTGTAATCTGTTTCGTTACCAAATCCGCCAGACTTCGTATTTTCCATTCGAAGAAAAGTAGGAAACTAAATTCATACATTTTCGAAAACAATACAAAAGTTATTGCTTTTCGTGCTCTTTTAGAAGAGTATTCTAATTGCTTTCAAAATCATATGTCAGAACGTTTTTAACAGGAAGAGGGATATCGTTTAACCTTCGCATTTGCAAAAGTGTCAAAACTGCTATTAATCCCTCGTTCCCTGCGGAGTCCATCGAGCGATTGAAAAGAAATGCAGGGAGGATGAGTGGTGCTTTCTGGATCTACAGTATCTGCAATCCCTAACCATCTTCTCCATCTGCGGCTTTCCTTGTTCTGTCTTGATATATCTTTACCTTTCGGGTGTTTTTCTATCTTACTGAAACTATCAAATGGTTCTACATTATACCTACTCTTACAAAAGGCCTCCTCCTATACCTGCAATACGGTGTTGTTCCGCTGCAGAAGTTTTCGTAGTGTTTGTAAAACGAGGTCAGCTGAGTTCTTGGGCAGAAATCGTAGAAATCTCGATCAAACACCTTCAATAACGCACCCTCTATTACACTAAGTCGTTGAAAGAGAATGAATAAACTACAACTCACTTATCATCTTGATATCTCTAACTATTTAAACAACTGCATGTCACATGCTGTTTGATTACAATCATTAATTAGCACCGACGAGCAGTTTTGTGAAAATTAACACTAAAATATTTCTTTTAGAACTCTCCGCATGTTACCGATAAATTGTTTTCGCGAGCAAGGAAACAAACGATCAGAGATCTGTCCAATTTTAGCCGTTTTTTTAAAAAATATTACAATTCTATTTTTTATTGTAAATGTGATTAGCAATTAGAGAATTCTCCGAAATGATCGTCAAAAAAATAAATTGCAGGGCAAACACCAACATTTCACCAGCTTAACCCGGTCAAATTATGAAACGTAACAGTTTTAATTCTATTTTGCGCAGGTAGCAGACTCATTTCATCAGTCGATTCTCTGTTAATCTCTCATTTTTGTGTCCGATAATGTAGCTTATGGGGCAGATTTATCAGCCTTGAATTCGTTCTGCTGAATTGGTGCTTGAGAGATAGATACTCCGTCTTAATAAAACACGTTATGAAAAATATTTATTCCAAGAATATAGCTTTAAGTAAACGAAACGATTCTAACCGACATCGTCTTTTGGCGGTTTTGAATTTGCATTTTTAATGAAACGATGATAAAGGCAATATAAAGAGAAAAAGTGTTTGCATATTTTGTTGATCGAGTAATTTGTTTCGTTAATGGAGAAAAACTGAGACTTGTACCATAGATAATCGTTACAAATAGCGAACACAAATTTATAAAAAAGTCGTCATTTACATCGTTTTAATTTGAATTTCAGATGCAATTTTGAAGAGGGCTTAAAGTGAAGTATTCAAGACAGAAACAATTATCGTAAATTACAATCACAAATGTCTACTCAACGATTATCATACTTTGATGAATAACATATGTAGACATTGGCCCGTTTTCAGCTACATACATGTGTATTTCTCTGAAATAACAATTTGCCTCGATTCACTTTTGGGTAACTGCGTAACAGATTTCTGATCACCAGTGACACCTCGCTTTTGATAAATTCTATTTTTCTGCATTAGACTTACTATGAAAATTCTGCTTGGTCGAGAGTATACAGTCAGCTGATATGCAAAAGTGCGTGACGTTCCCATGATGACCCAATATCTGCAGCAGGTATTGGGTTTTTAAATTGTACTGTATTGAACGATCACTGAAAGTGGAACCACTAAAATAAAACTAACTTTATTACTTCAAGTAATTTTTGATCCACGTTTCTTTCCCCACATCAAAGAAAGTAGTGTTTATGAGCGAGATTCTATACACCAAGTGGTCAATTATACCATAAAGTGGTGTTGTTTGTGGTTTTTTATAAGACACTTAATCTGTGGAACCTCTATAAGCGGTCACCCCGCCATTCTCCGTGAGTGAGCGCTCACAATAGGTTCGACTACATTTGATATTGTAAATTATTTTGTGAAGAAACAGACTGGAACAAAGATCTTCTGTATTCAAAATAACCCTTGACCAATTATCACTCTTAGCACATGTATATGCTCAAGTAAGCGAATTCTTTAAATTCAAGTAGATGTCAAAAGATTGACGGGCGCTGGGAAGAAACTTATTTTAGTTCAGAAGAATGTTTAAAAAAACTTCCGTTACCGAAAGGAAATTTATATAAAGGAACTCGACAATGAAAGCAACAGTTTGAACTACTGAATTTTAATTGAATCTCCATCTGTTTGATCTGTTACCTCGGTAGTAATGAAAAATGTAATTGAAAGGGATTTCATCTAACCTCCAGCAACTGATCGTAACCGGAAACGGAGGATAATTGAGTTAAAGAAAAAATATAAATATATCGTGGAACCTAAAGACTAAGTCGCCCCTACATAAAGTTCTAGCTTTGATTTTCTCCATACACGTGACTTAAAATAGCAGCTCAGAAAGGGGAAAAAGGAACACGAAAAACTGTCACAACTCGAAACATAGTGACAAATGTCGCCAGACGTTATTCGTATGGCTTGACCTTATACTGTTTGTGTCCGCCGTTTTGTGGCCGTCTGCTTTTAAACATGACACTTGCAAGTTACGTTTTTCCTATATTTCAATGTTTGAAGCAGCGAAGATTAATTTAGATCTCGAAAAGGTTGATAAACCAAGTATTTTTTGCCTTTGTGGCGTTGTAGCACATCATAACCTTATAATATTTTCGCTATTAACCTCTTTGTGGACGGTTAACACATTATTCAGTTTCTCTTTATGTTAAGAAGACGCAAATTGCTACCTTCCACCTACTGATTTAATTTTAGTCAAAAGTGGACAAAAGTGGATTCTAAAATCTATTTTACCCGCACAACCGGCTACCATTTAAATATGTTACCTGCAATCGCGCTCTTCGTCTCTGCGATGCATTTATTTTTGTGTGGAATATTTTCAGTGATAAGTGTCAATTAAACGGTGTTACAAGCTAAAATGACTCGCTAGTACTTACCTTTCAGATGCAAGGCTGACTAAAGCTGGCTTTTAGTTGGTTTCTTCTCTTTTCAAAAGACAAACTAAATCAGAAGCATGAAAGCCTTCAGATGCTCTGTCTCTTTATCCACTATTCAGCACTTAAAGTTGTTCAGTCAGTAACAGCAAGGATAATTGCAAAACGACAACAGAAATAAGACGGCCTTTCCGCAGAGGACAGTTACCAGGAGCTAAACAGAGATAATAAACTAAAATTTACCACTTGGTTTCGAATTAGGCCTTGTCTGAAGCCCAGCAGCCAGGTACGGTCTTAAATGGACTACATGCTCAGCAGTCAAAAATTTTCTCAGAATTCCCCCCTGAAGGGTTCAAACTTCTCGAGCGTAAACAATTTCTTACTGCCAAGATTTAGTCCATTTAAGACCTTGTCTGACTGCCGGGCATTTTAGAGACTGGGTTTGTTTATGCTTATCAGATTATTAGAAAAAAAAAATTATGTATCAGTATACAGCGGATAAGGAGAAATAACGCTGTACCTTCTTCAAAATCTGAACCACTAACGGCCTCCTCCGTTCACTGTAGCTGATGTATTTGCCCAAAACGAGTGCGTCACTAGCTCTTCAAACAAGAAGCCATGTACGAATTTGCCAAGAAGCTAGCGGTAGTGAAAGAATCTTTGAATTTCCGGAGCTTTTCTGAAGCGTATGCGAGCGCAAGGGGTTATCAAAAAACGATTAAGTTAAGGTACTTTGTCATTTGAAAAATGCGTTGACAAGATCTGATCTCTGACAGGTATGTTCCTTCTTTTTTTAAAACAATGATGATATTATGATTGTTATGTTTGCATCTTTATTACTTCAATCATCAAACCTTTAACCGAGTAAGTTTCATAAATCAGCTGTTTAAATTACAGCAAAATTAGCTAAAGTGAGTCCTAAATATTCATCATATAAACATGATCATTATGTCTGACGAGTTCTTTACTGATTAAAGGATATTGTAAGCTAAAAAATTGTTTAGGAAGGAAGATATTCGTTAGCTATGGTCAGGTCGTGCACGATAAATGTCATCATTCGGCACTTCGTGATACATTCGTTTAATCTATTTTTAATATGTAGTTCAAGGAAAGAGTGGTTTTCCGTTTCCGCACATGAAACTACAAACCTTAAATTTGAGGACAGCGTTTTCCGCGTTTACCAGCCGAAAAAAGTGAAGACGTGAAGGAATGAGACAAAACAAAACAGGAAAGGGAAAATCCAAAAAATTCATTAATGATGTGACAGAGCAGATGAAATTTGGCATGCAATAAATTTCGTGAGTCTACTCAGATCCTCAGACCGCAAACGAAACGGTGAAACGGCAACCGGTATTTCTTCTTTGTATAAGGGTACTTAAAAGTAAGATATGCTTGTATAAACGAATAGGGTCGAAAAGCAGGTCGATAAGTTACTAATTCTATTATGTCCCCGGTGGATCTATTTACCTTCTGTCGTGTTAAAATTCTCACTTACTCATTAAGAAGAACTTAAAAAAAAAAAAAAAACAGTCACGGTATCGAAATAAAAGTTCTAAAGGAAAATGGCATTGTACAGATATTTTAATTTACTTTAGAAGGGCCCTTAATCTGCGTTAATGCATTCCTATTTTCGTAGGAGGGCGTATGGCGATAGCGACACAGGTTCTGGCCAACAGGAAAACGAAGATCACTGACTCTTGCGCGACTAGAATTTTCACATTCCCACGAAAAAAAAAGAATGAAACCTGGTTTCAATTTTAAGTGCCCTCATGATGAGTTTGTACACGTGCATAGCAAGGCAAGTGAACAGATTTTGTCTCTTGCAGAACTGGCTTTCTGCTGAACTAAAAGGCGCTATACATAACAGCCATGAATTTCACTTATAGTCATCTGTTTGGACCTCATCTAGTCAGTGAGATTGAACGCTCTCGCATGAAATGGGAGCGAATGGTCAGCCAGTTAAAGATGGCGCCCAAACCTTTTCCAAACCGTGAAATTGCACAGCGCTCAGAAAGAGGCGACAAGAACAGAAACGTTCTCCTAACGTCGAATACAATGAATCGACTTTATTACCCTCACTAAAGAGGGATCTCTTTCTTTGTGGAGTCTTTCGTTTTACGATAAGAAACAACGAGAAGGTGAGAATAATACGTTATCCCTTACAGATACACTGGTAGATGACATTTTGTTTTTCTCAGCAGCTGTTGCTACCAAGAGAATGTAAAGTGATATTGTCTTGTTGCTACTTCATATCCTCTCCTTAGTCCTTCGGTCCGTTCAGCCGGTAACGGGTGCATTGTGGGAGAATCATGTTGTTGCTATGCAATCATTTTGTTGCAAGAGAGGCGACCAGGTTACATAGCTTAAAGATGGCGGCAAAGCATACGTTCTCTTAAAACAGTGATCAGATGCTGATTTACAGAAGAGATTGTCAACGAACACTATCTTTGATACTAGAATTAGCAGAATGGATCCTCGAATACAAGCTATTTTAGCGAAATACGAAAATGATGAGAAAGGAGAAGCCGAAAAACATGCCGACAAGCCGGCGACCCCTGAGCCGCCGAAAACGTATGAGCAATGGTTGGAAAGAAGACCAGCTGGTTTACAACGATGGCCCGATGATGTGGATATTGGAAAGGAGTTTGAAATATCAGTTGCTTCTGTCGGATTAGGGAGTTTGGAAGAAATAATGAAAGATTTGGGGGGTCATGCTCGTATCCTTTCAATTTATCTTAGTCTTCTCCATGCAATAGAAAACGTAAACACAGAAACGTACAGTATTTGAAGTAAATCTCTCACTCCCAAGATGTAAGTATTATTTTCTTTACCTTCAGTTATAAATTTTTCAGTAAAGGGGATACATTTCTAAAGAAACTGCGGTGCTGCGTCGGTGTGGTGTATTACACATGATATAATTTGGTTTATCAGCTGAGTTGATAAAGTGAATTGGCCACCGTAAAAAGTTTCTAATACTGAAGTTTCGAAAGCGTTAGTCTTTCATCAGAGCAAATGACTAAGGGAAAAATGCTTGAAATGTCAGCGACGCATTTCTCAGAATGGCAGGTCTGACTTTGTCAATTTATAGTCAACCGGCCAGTTGTTGAGAACACAGCAAATGATCGATTATGGTTTTATAGTCATATAATAGTTTTTCTTCACCAATGAAGTTACTGTTTAATCTGCATATACACTGTAACTTCACACGAGGATTAAAAGAACCAATCAAAGACAGAAAAAGTACATTTCTTACCCGAGTTTATTGGAGAGTGAACATGATAAGAGCAGATTTTCTTTGGTAGGAATTATCCTGTGAAACAATTGTTTACATGTATCTGTGCTACATTAGTTGATGGGCCTAGTAGTTTTTTGAATGAAAAATAATTGATGATTTTTCTTAACTCGGTTATTTTTAATAAGCGTTGGACATTGGCTTGATTGATGAGGTAAGCAATGAAATAGAAGAATTGGAAAAGAAGCTTACTGTTTATGCAAGTCAGGTTTTGACAGACAAGGAGAGACCACAGAGTAAAGCTGAGACAATGAGCCCAGCAATGATGAAAGGTAAATAAACATCACAGATGTAGATTATTTCCTTCTCAGAGAGGTCAAGAAGGATCACTGTTATTGAGTGCATGGTGTAGATGATTTGGTTTGTAGTGCAGTACTAAACCCACTGACCCTTGAGAGTGACTAGCACCTACTGTGATTTCTCCTTACAGTATCACCACTGAATTGTAAGTGACCAAGAAAGAATTTCTCCTTCCAATATCAATACAATGTCAAGAAGACAAGTGATGAGAATAGAGAAAAACATCAGTCAGGGGTTTATAAGTTGATCCAATACCAAATTCTCCAAACTAACATCACAAGAACTGTATGGCAGACAGTAAGGAGAATTACTAATAAGATCATGGGAGTTAAAGGGTTATTTAGGTCACAAGGATTATGGAAATGATCATATACTAACAAAGGTCTCAATTGTTTAAGAAATTCTCCTTGTCAGCATCTTAGGACATTTATAAAAAACACCATGAAGAATATGCATACTTATGTCAGGGTATAAAGGGTCAGCTGGTCTACAGTATTAACTTTTTTTATAGCTGTTATAATTGTGGCTAACAAGTTTTTTTTGGGGAACTTCTTTAACTTTATCTCTGGATATATGGGTATGCACATACATGTATATACTTTTATCTTGTGCAGCTTTACAAACAAGTGCAGATATTCCTGCGGAAGTGATAAACAAAAAGGAAAAAGCTGTATCTTTGGTAAGAAAGACATTTAAAAAAATAGTTTTTGGTTAAATTACCAATTTTTAAGTATAATAATTACATGTTGCATTTCTTAACACCTAGTCTGACTACAGTGAAGACTGATATCCTAACAAGAAGTGCATAAAAATTTAGGACAGGATATCTTTTGAATATATTCAAGGAAAATTGAGTTTTGGAGATGTGAACCTTTAGATTCATAGTTATGCACATTAATTAACATTGTATCTTATGCAAAAATCAGAGGTTGGATGTATGTTTGTCTTCATTTTAACAGTATGGCCTTGCAGATGAACAAGCTAACAGAATGAAAAGTGTTCAGGTACAGCTCAGTCAGACTCTACAAATGTGTTTACTTTTTGGCCAGGTGTGAGGTCAAGATGGCTGGAAAATATTGGCCCTCTTTTTTCCATTTTTATGTCCTGAGACAAAGTCGCTAGTATCCAACCATCTTGACGGAATATGCTTGGTCAATAAAGGATTTAGTATATGGCAGAATATTTTAATTTATTAAGATCAGGAATGACTAGGTTATTCTGCAAGCAGGAAAAGACAGCCAGCTGTGTTTGTAGCACAATAAATCTACAAGAGTTGATTTTTTCCTTTGTTTTGATTTTCTTCTACCACTTTTTTGTGGCTCCATTGCCAGCATTGTTAAAAAAAACTTTAGACTTTGTAAGTCTGCTCCATACATCAGGCAAACTTGATTAGCCCATCTTGGTTGCCTCGGTAGCCAATAAGAATGTAGTATTTGCTTCATATTGCCCTCAGGCCCTGCCAGTGATATGATTATTTTCATTATGCACCTTGTGCTCAAAGTTACACACCCCACACTGATTCTTGTTGCATGTTTGAACAGGATATCTTTTTCCTCTTTCATACAGTTCACATCTTACCCTGGATTTTTTCCTCATGAAGTAACACCATTACCAGGCCAACTGGAAGCACCTCAGCTATTGAACAGGGTTACAAAGGCTCAACAATTCCCTGTAAGTTGTATCATTTATTTCATGGAAACTCAGGGATTTCATTCTGATCTGTAAATTTATTCAGTCATGTAGGTCAGTGTGATGTAGGCACAAATTGTTGTGGTTTCTGAGGTCTAGGTATCTACCATGTGGAAAGTTCAGTTATTTCATATATACTAAGATTTACACTGTGAAGTTACATCATTCATGTCTCTGATTGGACCAACAGCGTATTTTCATGGGTAGTTCTTTGTTTCCAATCTTTGAATTGAAATGTGAAAAAATCTCTGCCAGTATGTATGGAATAAAAACATTATGCCATGGAAAGTGCTTGAATGATTTTTATTCACTAGTTGTGATACAGCAAAAAACTCACTCATTTGCCACGCTCACTTTTTCTTTTTTTTTTTATGCTTTCCTACTCATGAATTAAAATTGTTTCATGCACACTTTCTATGGAATAATCTCTCTTTATCAGCAAGTGAAATTAACAAGGAAGAAGCCATGCCACCTGCAGTTGTTCTTTTTCTACATCTGTATTTGCTGCAACAAAGGACTAATGGTTGATAGATCAGCTCTAAAAATTGGTTTACTTAAAAAATTTGTTTACTCACAGTTAATGACGAAATATTGTCCTGGGCTGTTTTATATAGCACCTAGTTCATTGATCAAATTTATTATCATGGTACAGTTTTTTTCTTACCCAGGGACCTGTTTCTCAAATGTCCCAGTAACTTAATAGGCCTACAGCCATGCAGTGGATTTTAAAATCAATATCTAAGAATAGAAAGCAGGTTCTGCCACATGAACCATTCCATTTTGTTTCTTTTTTAGCTGATAGTTTTATGTATAATTTTCCAAAATTTTGAAAACCATATCATGAATGGAAGTGGAACAGTTTTACAGGCCTGTTAAGTGACCAGAAACTTTGAGAGAGCAGCCTCAGGATCCTTTGATTTGCATATGATCTTTAAAACCCAAATTAATCCTCTGTGTTAACTCCTCCTTCAATCTGTTGATTTATGGAGGGATTTTTTTTTGCAACAATTGATGATTTAGTTAAAAATTTTTTTTCCAAGTTATTCATGAGTTTGTTAGATAGAAGCAAGACATACAGGTCAAATTATCTGTGTCCAACCACTTTTTATTTTATTCCAGTCAATTCTCAGGAAGAGATGGAAGAAACTGTTTTTGTCAGAAGGATCTGTGATTTTGTTGCAGGTACATCTGTTTATAACAGCTCATAATTATTTTGTTTTGGTTTTGACATACAGTTCACAGGGACATTTGGCATGTGATTTAGTGGAGTTACATGTATTGTCTTAAGATGGAAAAGTATTGCTAAAATCAATAGGTGATAGGGTACATGAGGCAACTTTCATTTCAAGAAAAATACATACATCTTTCCAAGTGACAACTTTAAAGATCAGACAGTTGGTCAGTTGCCTAGTTGGTTTGATCAGTTCACTCATTTTGTCAGTCAGTTGTAAAAAAACAGTCTGTTAGTATAGCATATCTAGGAATATTAAATTCTCATTAAAATTTTTGTTAATGCATCATTATCTTAAAACTCACTTTAGTTGAATCCCTTTTTTTTTGTTTTCTTCTTAGGATACTTTCTGGTGGTTCTTTCTAGAAAAATTTCAGGTAAAGCCCTTCTTAAACATGAGACGCTCATTGATGAAATCCCTAAAATTGTTTGTTCTAGTTCATTTCGCTTCTTGATTTGTCTAAATTTTTCACAAAGCTTTATGTGATCTGAAGTTGGAAGACCAGCTGTGATGCATGTGTATTGATGAAATAAGGAAACATTCTCTAGATCTGTGTGTTTACTTCTGATTTTTCTCTTCTTAGCCTGATTCCAAGGACGCTCAAGATGGCTTGTTTAACCGAATTGCTGACAGTTTTGTTGCTTTGTTCTTTGGTGTTAGTCCTGATTTTAAGGACAGGTTCTTTCAGGTAAAATAAACTATCATCTTTAAGGTGCTGTACCTATCCCTTTGTGAATCCATGAAGTACTAAAGTGATTAGTCTATTGATTTTAAGTTTTTGTGATCTTTTCGGTGTGGCAATGCCCTCGTTCTTGAGAGAGACGTACCATCAGTTCCTCGGAAGAGGAGATAGAAAGAGAAAGAGTTCAGTTATAAGCTAAGCGCGCTTGGTTTCACTTAACTTTTTTTTGTTACTTTGGTGTTGGAAAAAGCTACTTTAAGACAGAATGGAACCTGGTAATAACAGTTACTAAGGCAGGTGAACACAAAAGTGGTATTAACTATTCTAAAATGAACGATGGTGGTTAACCATGAAGAAAATTAACTCGGATTGCAGATGGCGGTCTTGAAAAAGTTACGTTAAATTTCCAAAGATACTTAAGCCATTACCTTGGTCTTTTGACTAAAGTTACGTAAGCCTTCAGCCTTCAGTGCCATCAGGAATATCTATTCAGTACTCTTCAAAGCGCTGCTCCAATGCATGTAGACACAACTTGTTATTTTATGTTGTTTGTTTTTTTAAATTACAGTATTTTCCGGACTGCCTGGCACAAGCTGTGTACGCTGCATACTGTGAGGTTTTCCCAAGATCTTATCAGTTGTTCGATGATGACTTTAAAAGTTTTCTTCTGAACACCATCTCAGAATGGGTGACAGGTACATAACGCACACAAGAAAATGCTTTGAAATCAGCGCTCCAGGCTGCAACCATTTTGGTTGCCATGGCGAGCAATGAGAATAAACTAAATGTGTAGCTTTAGTGTCATCAATTTGGCGATCTGTCATTGACGCTCATGAAACAAGTTGTAGCGCTTTGCTTACCAAGTTTAACTGTGTCAGTAATGAGCATTTACGTAAGTTATTGTCATTGCTCCGGTCTTTTCTTTCATAAAAAAAAGTGCCTATTTCTCCTCAGTCGGATTATTAGCCTTCAGATGTCATGTGACTGACTGCCAGAAAAAAAGGAAAAATTTCAATCAGCGTTTTTTTTGGCCGCGCACGGTTTTGACCCTATAAATAAGATTTTGATTTCAGTGATTTTGACGAGTTTTCTATTTTTTATTCCAATTGGGTCGTAGGCAGGCTATGGAGTACGGAATGAAGGGGGAGGGGTGGTAACAGGCATCGTATTTGATGGGCTACAGCCATACCATCTGTACAGAGATGGGTAGAATTAACCCTGGTTGGTCATTCTACAGAAATTAAGGAATAAAGCACTTACTGCTCCTCCTTAAAATGTACAGGTACCAGGCCGCCACCCTTCTCGTGGAAGAAATGGAACCTAAAACTTTTGGAGCCAAGCAATATTCGAGAACTGCAAGATGATAGGACTCAGTCACTCAAAGGTAAGGATTTGGTACTAAGGGAATTTTGCAAATAGTAGAACACGATGACAAGTAATCATTATGCCTGCGACTTGGTTATGCAAGCACGTGTGTCCCTGCAGCACATTCCCTTGTTCAGTGAGACGGGACAGCAGTTGTTGTAGTTGGTAATCTCAGAGTTCGAAATATAGTCTGGACGCACCAAACAATTAAATGCTTCGAAGTGTTAAGAAATCTGAGAGTGTTTGTGTGTGTGTGTTTATTAGTTTCTTTTTCATTTTGTTGGTACTATTTTCAGCTAACATGTCGTTTGATCTGGACTCATACTTGGATGATTTGGACACTGTCCCCACCAGTAAGGAGAAAGCTGGGACACACACTGCTCCGTACTCCCCCTCCAGAATGGGACTGACAATCATTCCAACGTTCGATAATGCAGAAGTAAGTTTATCTTAGAGCACTTCAACAACGCTATTTCCTTAACCCTTTCCACCCTAACATCAGTATGCATATTCTCCATACTGTTCTCTATACATTTCCAAAGGTGCTGACAGGGAGAATTTGTTCAAAAATCAAGAGCTTCTTTAGTTGGTGATCATTTCTTTTATTCTCATGACCTTAATGTTTCATTGAGGGGTTATTTCCAAGGAGAAATTAGATGCTAGTCACGCTCAGGGGTTAAAGGGTTAAGTGTGATTTTCGATTTAAAGCTTAGGGTTAGGTTTTAGTCATCATTAGAGTAGACTTCTAGTGAATCAGTTATGAACCTCTGTGAGCCTTGTTCAAACTAAACGGGGCAAGTTTCTTAAGAAATTGTGGAAAATGAAAAAGAAACTGTGTGAAACTCCATTCGCTCTGACGAAGGGCTAATGCTCGAAACGTTAGCTTTGAAACTCTTTACGGTGGCCAATTTGTATTATCAACTCAGTCGATAATACCAAATTACCTTGTTCACAATACTATGGTCTTTAAATGAAGAACCTCAAGACTTAATTGTAGTTCTTATCGAATTGCTTATTCTAACAGTATGTTCAAGTACATGTGGGATGCTTGGGCTTAGATGAATATGGTAGATGATTCACGTGCGAGAACTTTTCGATTATCCAAGATGCAAAAAATCGTGACTTAGTTCCTTTACCTGTTGGTTACTGTTGCTGTTGTTGTTGTTTTTGGTTTTTTTTTTCATTAGTTCTGTTCTCATTTCACTTTCATTATTTTTCATATTTTGTTCCCAAGTCACATGAAGTCGGCCCAGGTCCCGAGTTTGAGCGCGTCGGTTTTAATCTCCTGGGGAGGAGTCCTTTGGTATCACATTTCCTGCGAATGAAAGAACTGATGGGAAAAGAAGAGCAACCAATTCAGGCTGTAGGACGCACTGAAATCGCCAAATTACCGTATCCTTTGTTTTGAAATTAAGAAGGAGCTTTTTTGTTTCCCTGTTGATCAAGAATAACTTTGATCTGCCATTTATAGGGGAGCTATCGTGTCGAGTTTGTCTCTGCGTACTCACATGATGAAATAATTATTTAGGGTGCATTTTATGCATTTTAAGTGATCATTCTTCCAGAGCAGATATTTCGCAGTTCTTTCACACAAGAAAATAACTTTTTTTTTTTGACTAATTACATCCTTAACTCGTCCCTAGAGCTCCGGCGCCAAGTTACAAACAAGTTATACGAGATTGTAAAAAGACAACAAAAACGTTAAATAATCATTATCAAAGGTGAGGCACAACAGTGTTCGATGTATAACTCTAAAACTCGATCTGTTCATTATTTCTTTATTCTCTTCTTTTCTACACAAGTTACTATAACGGGTACTAGCTCAGATCTCTCAAGGAAAGTGTGGGTCACCGCTTATAGAGGTGACACTTACGTAGCTGTCAATCTCTAACCTTCGTCATCCTTTCACACTTAACTAGCGAATCACGTTAAGCTATGAAGAGCGGAGTTCGCATACTAATTAGGTACCTTCGAGATGTTTACGCTTTACAAAATGACTTTCTACTTAAAATTTCTTAGTCTTACGGTCCAGGTCGAACAAAACAAAAACAATATTGGTAATATACAAATTATAACGAACTTATTAACAGAATTAAAATCCTGCTTGAAAAGATATCTTAAGAGAAAATAGTCCTCGAAGACTGTTACATAACAGCAGAATAAACAGAAAATTCGGAGAAGAAAGGTCGTACCCAAGGTACCGCCCCTAAAAGAGCTACGTGCTATTCGTATAAGCTACCTTATTATAAATTCATTGTAGAAGATGAAAAGTACTACATATTTACACCTAAAGACACCTAAGAAAAAGAGGTGTCGAACGTGCTAAATTAAAATTTAAGAACTATTTGCGTGGTCGGGAATTCGACATGGATTTAGCCTAAAAACGAGAATATCAAAGAGGTAAAAGTATAAGGAGGGTTATTTACAGGAAATTCCTGTACAGGATTAATTTTTATAAGGTAAAGTCATTTTCTTAGTAATTAAACATCTTTTAGCAACATAATGGAAATATAACGATATTTAGCCGCAAACCGCGGTTTACGCAAAAACATCTGTCTCCATGTCAAATTTACGATTGAAATTCTACCTGTAAGATAAGACTGCCAAAAGGAATAAGAAATGATCAACTGGCTTGCTACAATGTTTACTGAATGGCTTATGGTCATATATTATTTCCATTCATTTCCCAACACCAATATAAGAAATCCTTACAATGATTTTAGATTAGATATATTTCTATTTTAACCGTTTAACACTAGTATTATTCAAGTAGTCTCCTTCTTTGAGAATAATTGGTTTTCTTTTGATTTGTTTTTACCTTATTTATTTACTTATTTTGTTTTTACTTTATTTATATACCATCTGTATGTCAGTTATTTATTTGTTTACTCGTTTATTTCTTTTTCAAGGCCATACTTTAACCTTTGAATAACATTAGTTGTGAATTTAACTGCGATGATAAGTCTTATATTTATCTGTTTACCCTGCAGTACAAATATGTCGTATGATCTTCATAACTAGTGTTCTTTTTAACTTGAATAACCGGTGGTCAAGGCATCTGGCAATTGTATTTAATTGACATTTTTTTTAGAGTCCTTGAAACATCTGAGCAAGAGAGCTTGAAAATCCAGAAACAGAAGCGAGCTGCGCTGGCCAAGCTTGAACGGTGAGTAAATTGGCAATTGGTTCCTTATTAATAACATGCGGGGGGTAACCTTGCGATGGACTGGCATCCCAACCAGGAGGGAGTAGTGATACTCCTAATCGCTTCATGCTAAGGAAACCTGTATGAGCTCAGGCTGAGCGGGCCAATAGGCTGGAGTGAGGACTTTTTCTTTGCCTTGCTTGCCTTTTAAATGGAATTGTCAACTTTCAGAATATTCTTTCTGCAATGACACCTTTAGGATGTTGGCACAAACTTTTTCAGAATGAGATAGTGTGTAAGTCAAGTGGTATTTCGTGTTTTGGCCCTATAAAATACACCGATTCTAGTCTTGAGTGCTCGTAATTCTTTCTGGGCGTTTCGTTCGGTCATTTATTTATTTTTAAATTTTGCGTTTTTATTCACGTATTAAATAGTTAGAGGCAAGGTTCTGTAGTGATATCACTGATCACCGTTGTTCTTTGTTTTCATCAGCTTAAAAAATGATCTTGTTTTGAAAAACCAAGACATTAAAATGATCAGCGATCGACTTCTCGACTTGATGGTAAGTAAATTAGTTTTTTTAACACCCAGTGTCTCCGTATCAGAAAGTCGCGATAGAAGAGTTGCTCAAATGTTCTCAACTACGTTTAGATCTGAATATCATAGCTATTCTAAATTTCTACAAAAGGAGTCTAGAGAGAGGGATCTAGAATATTCAGCTCGTCACGCGACCTGAGCCAAACCTCACCTTTTTGTCGACCCGACCCAAACCTCCCCTTTTGGTCGATCCGACCCAAACGTCCCCTTTTTGTCAACCCGACCCAAACCTCTCCTGTTTGTCAACCCGACCTAAACCTCTTCTGTTTGTCAACCCGACCCAAACCTCTTTTGTTTGTCAACCCGACCCAAACCTCTTCTGTTTGTCAACCCGACCCAAACCTCTCCTGTTTGTCAACTCGACCCAAACCTCTCCTGTTTGTCAACCCGACCCAAACCTCTCCTGTTTGTCAA